TTCCAGTTAGATGGCGTTTGATGCTGGGTTTGTTGGCGCAGATGGTCTTAATGGGTGAATTCTGCGTAGGGCTTTCTTGGTTGATTGTTCTGCTTCTTATAGTTGCTATAAAATTCTTATGATTTGTTCATATCTTTGTATAATGGCAGCACCTGCTGAATGAGGTTTTTTTTCCTTTGTTTCTTGTTTTGGGGTGTGGCCTGGTGACATTATTGTTGTTCTTCATGGGGTATGACACTTGGAGAGCTAGATGCAGATGAGTGTTCTAAAATTCTATAACTGCAAGTCACTGATTCACTGTATACTGAGATCTAGTAGGTTTATCCTCAACTTACTTTGATTGGTTCATAGTGGCACCATGGTTTATCCAACACCCCCTTGTGTGTGTGTGTGTGTGTGAGAGAGAGAGAGAGAGAGAGAGATCATTGGACCTAGTTTCGGTGGTTAAGCCCAACTCATTGGTGTCTTTATCAGATGTCTTTTTGGGCATCGGTTACATTAATATTGGTTATCCTTTTTGCTCTGTAAGGAACATATTATGAACTTCTGGTACTTCAAATTCACTGGTTATGAACTCAACCAACAAGCGCAAGTTGAACAAGAGAGAGGGAATGCGTAGTTGAATGGTTGAGTCTGATATTTAATTACTTAGAGATTTTAGATTTAATTTTCTTTTATATTTATTGAGGGCTAGTCATTCTTCTTATTTTAGGGACATGCTCTAATCGACCTCAAAGAACTAGTCGGCACAAGTATAAACACCCACAACTAGAGAGAGAGAGAAAGAGATGATGTTGGGTTTAACATTTAGGTATTTAAAATAGAGTTAATATCAAAATTAGTTCTTAATTTTGTCGTTTGTTTTAAAATAGTTTTTAAACTTTCAATTGACTCTATTCTCAAAAAAAAACTTTCAATTGACTCAATTTTTTTTTTCAATTATCAATTTCGTGTCAATAAAATTTTTCTTGTCTATTTTGCTCGTTTGAATAAAGAGATGTAAGTTCATATGTTTGTTATGTGGTTGTCTAAGTTATATATCTCCATTTATTCTAACAGACAAAGTAGATAAAAAAATTTGTCAACATGAAATTGATAATTGAGGGATTAAATTGAAATAATTGAAAGTTCACGAACTCCACAGAAAATTTACATTAATTCAAATTAAAAAGCTTAAGAGTTGAAATGAGATAAATTTGTGTCTAAAAGTTCAATTGAAAATTATGGTATAATTTAGGGGCCAAATAACTAATTCAAAAATTTTAATTTGTACCCCAAATAGTTATTTTTTTTTATATTCATTCTCAATATTATAAAATAATTATAATGTAACTCTCACGCTAACTTCGTTTCATTTATGTCAAACTTATTGCATTTAGTGTGTGGGTTGGGTAAAGATTTCCTGTTGTTAGAAAATCAACCGTAGATATGTTGTTGATTAAAACACCATTGTTTAATTAAACAATATCATTTTAGTGCAAAACAATGTTGTTTTAATTAAACATCACCTCTGTTGTTAAAAATTAACAGCAGAGGAGCCAGATCCGTGTGGGCTACATAGGAGATTTGATGGAAATTGCAATGCAAGGTAGTATTTGGGCTACATTGCAACTATTGTATTACATTTCTGGTGTAATATGAAAATAATGGATAAATAGTGTGGTTCATCCTTTAATCTTCATAAAACACGCACCTCAAAATTTCAACCAATAGAAATTGAGTATTGAAGCCTCGCGATCCGACTTGAGCCCCCAACTTCGAATCCGAGCCGTCAACTTCCACTGGAGAAAACACAACAAACCCCATTAACCATCGTCGGATACCGTACTTTTAAACAACTCACGGATTATGAATGTCAACCGTTCGATCCTATTTATCGCCGACACAATCGACACTATATATACATCTACAATCCTTTCACAGACGTTTCCGCAACAACTTTTCATTCTAGAGAGAGAGAGAGAGAGAGAGGGAGAGAGTTCTGTTGTTCGTCTGATAGGTAAGTCTTTCTTCATATATTCGCATAATTTATGTAATTGTGTATGTACTTGTATTATGCATATAGATATACGTATCTGTATTTGTGTATGAATCGGATTAGAGTTTAGATTTGTGTTGATTTATTCTTATTAAAAATTGTTAGGGTTAGTTTTTTGGTTTTTTTTTTTTATTTGAGGCGGTAATCCTATTTTTTTTTGGTGATTTTATTCTTTATAGTAAATTTTCGAGTCAGATTTTGTAGTATGTTTTCGATGCTTCGAATTTAGGGTTCATTGTAGATGTAATATGTTAGTGTGTACATCCTTCGAATCTAGTCTTTAGAAGTTCTTGTTCATTTTCCATAAAACAATTGGCGGCTCTGTGCGATGTAAGAAATTTCCACACATCCCCTTTCCTCTCCATCCTCGTTCCCTTGCCATCCCACCATTTGATTCTATCATTTGAAAAGTTAGATAGAATCATTGAAAATTGTGAAAAATTGGGTGATAGAAGAATTATGAAAAGTTAGGGTGGTAAAACTATATTTTTTTTTTATTGCAAATAATAGGCTGATTTTTCAAAGAAATTTAATTGAGGGGTAGTTGATTAATGGGGTTAGAGGGGTAGTTACATGGAACATTTGTTAGAATTGATAATTAAATAATTGAAAACTCTGGCAAGGCTTTTCAAAACACCTCCCACCTGATTTGATTGCTATATATATAGTGTAGCCAGTATAGATTTGGCATTGTAGTGTGTAGGCAATTCCTTGATAATTTGTATCAATTTTTTGTTTTGATATCTTGGAATTCACAGATGGCTCGTACCAAGCAAACTGCTCGTAAGTCAACTGGAGGAAAGGCTCCCAGGAAGCAACTTGCTACTAAGGTTAGTCTTTCTCTGTTTATTAGCATTAGTCACCTGGATATTTTTAATTTTGTTGTTTTTGTTGTTGTTATTTTATGTGTCTGTATTTTAGTAACTTCTATGAAGAATTTTCTTTCAGGCTGCCCGTAAGTCTGCTCCGACAACTGGAGGAGTGAAGAAGCCCCACAGATATCGCCCTGGTACTGTTGCCCTCCGGTGAGTATTTTGGATGTGTTTGATACCCAACTATGACATTAGTTGTGTTCTTCAAATGTTCTGTTTGAATTAATCTGAGGTGACAAATGCTATGCAGTGAAATCAGAAAGTACCAGAAAAGCACTGAGCTTCTGATCAGGAAGCTCCCATTCCAGAGGCTTGTCCGTGAAATTGCCCAAGATTTCAAGGTAAATTCCAAATAATGAAGTTTTGATTATTGTTCTGCTCGTAATTCTGATTTGTTTTTTGCCTGGAAATCATGTTTGGTCTATTGACCTCTGGAGGTGTGATGTGTATGTGACGATTGTGGTGGTGGGTTCTTTGTTGCAGACTGACCTGCGTTTCCAGAGCCATGCAGTGCTGGCGCTGCAAGAGGCTGCTGAGGCATACCTTGTGGGACTGTTTGAGGACACTAACCTCTGTGCAATTCATGCCAAGCGGGTGACCATCATGCCGAAGGATATCCAGCTAGCTAGGAGAATCAGGGGAGAGCGCGCTTAATTAATTATGTTGCCCCGATGTTAGTAATTGATGGATTAGGGTGATGTTCTTTGGTTTGGTTCAATGTTAAGTAATATAGTTTTATAGGTACTCAAACATTTAGTAGTAGATGGGGATTATAGGATGTTGGGGGTGTGCTGTAATGTTTGTCTTGGTTAGTGGAGGGATGTGAATTTAGTATTTTCTTTGCTGATTTCTGTTTTTGTTGTCACATCACTGGTGTTGAACAATCTCTTAAATGTTTGGGTCCAATGTAGTGGATTTGTTCTATTTACCTATCCAGCCCCCCCCCCCCCCCCCCCCCCCCCCTCTTTTTTTTTTTTTTTGTTGGTGTTTTGATACATGATTGGTTGAATTAATAATGGTTATAGGTTTAGTACTGTTATGCATTAATATTTTTGTAATATTTTATGAACTTTTCTTATATCCGGTGGAACTTTTGTGATGGTATTTATGTCTTTGTTTTTTTTGGCGGAATCCAACTGTGTGCCATAGTGTCATATGCTTTCAGTTGTATTGGGCAATGCATGGATGTAGTTTTTACTTGATATGTATGGTTGATGATACCATTTGTTTGTGTTTCCTCCTATTATGAGTTGTCTAATCTCTCTGAATGCAAAAGTATGTTTCATTCATAGAGGAAATATCCACTTTTATTATGATCTGTGAAATATTTCAAATGCTGTAATGTTTTAGTTGGGTGTATTTCATGTTTTAATGTTGCTATGGATTGGTGGAAAGTGTCATTGAATTCGAGGAATTCACCTGACACGGGGGGTGGGTGGGGAAGGAGTTGCCAGATACGGTCATTGAGAACTAGACATTGAAAGCTTCAAATAAAGTAGTCCGCCAATGTATCAAAATAGAGCTTCGTGAGACGAACCCAAGTGGAGGATGTTACTCCAAAAGATTCGATGTGAGTAGCTTTGTGAGAGATCAGCTGTGAAGTAAGAAAAGCCAGATGGGGCTGGTGACAAGAGAAGTTCCAATTATATTTGTAGTGACTAATATCTGATTGAGAAATGAGTTGATGAGCCCTCATGGGCGGTGTTACCAGAGATGAGAATTTCACCATACTTTGATGATCCAATGCGCCAAGGGAATACATGTTCTCAATATTCACCACTATTAGTAGGTACTCCTTGATTTTTCTTCATGTTCTCAATATTCACCATTATTAGTAGGTACTCCTTGATTCTTCTTTAAAAAAAAAAAAAAAAAAAAGAAAGAAAAAAAAAAAAGAAAAAGAAGAGGATAACGCCCTAGTAATTAAGTTAGGGTTCTTACCAGAAAAAGTTGTCAGTGAAATTCTCAGATGTAGAATTTGAACATGGCTGATGCCACATTATTGTACCCTTTTTTCCTACCCCCAACCACCCCTATTTGGGCGAGGAGATCACTTATCACTGGCCAATTACCCCCGCTCATGTTTGCCATCTTTGACCAGGATTGACAAGTTCCAATGAAATGGGTAAATCAAATGCAACAAGTTTTAAATGTGCGAGATTTTGAGAGAATGAGATGTAAGTTTTTTTGGGGAGGGGAAGGAGACTTGAACCCTTGACTTCAAGAAGACAAAATTTTTATAAGACAAAGAATATCATTAGATCAAAGAGCCATTGGTATGAGATGTATGCAGTTATAATATTGGGAAATTTGGAGGCCGGTTCTATTATATGGACTTGTTTGGAATTAAGTCCGTCAAGTAAACTTATTTATTATGAAGTCCGTTTTTTGTCAATTTTACCATACTATCCCTTCCCTTTAGAAATGAAATAAAACTAAAAATTAAAAACTCTTAAATTTTAGAAGTTTGACTAACATTAAAATATTTTCTCTCTCATATCTATCTATATCCATATATAGACTAAGAATTTAAATAATATTAAAATTTTTTCTCTCTTTTATCTATCTATATTCATATATAGGTTAGGTATATATATAGTAACATTAAAAATAAAAAATAGTAATATTCAAATACAACAAAAATTTATCATTTAGACATAAAAAATAATACATTTAAACACAAAAAAATAGTAACATTTAAACATAAAAAAAATTGAAACATTCAATATTAATATTTTTAAAAAATAACAACAATAACATGTTCAACAAAAATAGAAATATGCTTAACAAAAATTGTAACATACTTAACAATAATTATTTCTTTCAAATTCAAACGCAAAAAATAGTATCATTCAAATACAAAAAATAACAATATTAAAAAAAAAATTGTAACATTGAATATTAATATTTAAGAAAATAATAGTAGTAACATGTTCAACAAAAACAGTAACATGCTCAAAATAATAGTAACATGAACAGTAATATACTCAACAAAAGCAGTAACATGAACAATAATATAATAAAAAAATAGTAATATGAATTTGAATTTTACTATTCAAATTTATTGTAATTTTTTTTTGTATTTAAATGTTACTATTTTTTATTTTTAATATTACTATTTTTTTTATTTATATATATATATATAGACAAGAGAGAGGGAGAATTTTAATGTTAGTAAAACTCTTAACCTATATATAAATATAGATATATATAAGATTGAAAAAATTAATTTCCTTTTAAGGAAGGGTATTTTTGAGATAAGAAAATAAAGTGGACTTAGATTATTACATATAATTTTAAATATGAACTTAATCCCTTATAAGTTTCCTTGCAACACTTATCTCCAAACAAGTACATCTAGGGGGACTCACTTCTAATTTTCACTATAATATTCAAGATATAATGGAATAATCTTATTGCAATTGAGTTAAGGTCTACCATCCAATATCACATAATGGAGTTTTAAAAAAAAAATGTTGAAACACAGAAGGATAACACTATGATATAGTATCGAAAGGTACTATTTTTTGAAGCCAAGTTACAATTGCTTGAAATAATTTGTGATCGATCAATAAATATTGTGATCTATCATAAATTATTTTAATCGACTATAATTTTTTATTTACGAGTTGTAATATAACTTGGAGTAGTAACATAACCTTTAAAAGTGTAACTTTTATAATTGATACCATCGATAATGCCCTTGTGTACCGAAGTCTTCCTCAAGGAAAGGAATCTTGATTTGCTTGTTTTGGGGACAACTTAGAATTGCAGCAAAAAGTTATCAACGAATTGCAGCAAAGATTTTCCATCTTGGATCATTAGTAGCAAAGTTTAGGTCCACTACATGACTTCGGCCGCACCCTTAGTTTGGGAAAGGCACCAAGCCCATGAACTCCCACAAAAAGACATAATTTTTAGTTATTGGGCTGATAATCAAGTTGACTTGGATTCGGTTCAGATTTAATTCATAAAAAATTTCACTAAAATTCAGTTCATGTTTTAAATACACCAAACTTAACCAATTTTTTAGAATTATTTAAAAAACGAATTTAAAATATTTGACTTGAATTCGCAAAATTCGATTTGCTTCGACTCATTTTTAGGCTGGCGAATTTAAACAATATTTTATCCTCACGTAGTAAATTGAAATTGAGAGAGGCTCGATTTTGAGCCCTAGTCACCATGAGTGCATGTATACGTATGTAGCCACCCACTTTAAATCCTTAGCCGCTGGTTGCGAACTATTAGCCCTAGTCCTTGGACCCAAATGCTTGTTCTATGCCTTGCACTTTCTAAAATTCAAACTCTTATCCGTACGAACCTCCCTACTTTGCTTTCACTTCAACATTGTTCTTTCCGACATTCATTCCCTCAGTTCCTCAGTTTTTACCCAGCTCAAGATGTGTACTCTTGCAATGTCAGGATTGGTGATTTGTTGCGTGCCGGCCAAATCGAAGCAGCCCGGAAATTGTTCGATGAAATGCCAACAAGAGACGTAGTTACATGGAATTCAATGGTCACTGGCTATTGGCAAAATGGGTACCTCGAAAAATCTAAAAGGTGGTTTGAACTGATGCCCTTGAGAAACGTGGTTTCTTGGAATTTGATGATTGCGGGTTGTGTCGAGAATGATAGGATAGATGATGCTTACATGTACTTTAGCGCGATGCCTGAGAAAAATATTGCATCATGGAATGCAATGATTTCTGGGTTTGTCAAGTACGATAGGATTGACGAAGCTGGTAGGCTGTTTGAAGAGATACCTGTTAGGAATGTGATATCCTATACTGCGATGATTGACGGGTTTGCGCAGAGCGGAAAGATAGAGCAGGCGAGGATGTTGTTTGATTGTATGCCGCAAAGAAATAATGTTTCCTGGACAGTAATGATTAGTGGGTATGTTGAGAATGAAAGATATAAGGAGGCTAGGGAATTGTTCTGTCAAATGCCTAAAAAGAATGTTGTTACCATGACAGCTATGATCACAGGGTATTGTAAGGAAGGAAAGATAGAGGATGCCAGGATTTTATTTGAAGAAATTGTGTGTAAGGATTGTGTCTCTTATAATGCCATGATAACAGGTATGCAGAGTTTGATACCCTTGTATTGATAGCACGTTTAAGTTGGCTGGGGATGATAGTAGTGGCTGTATACTCAAAAAAAAATTCAAGTGGTTATAAAGCAATTTTACAATTAGAACTCTGGTTGGAGGGCATTATTTCAATCATCTGATCTACCAAATTATTTTGTTGACTTGTTTGTGATATCGTCCTACCTTATTTACAATATGAAGTTTCCCTTTACTTGGTAATGGAGGCATTTAAGAATTAATAAACGTTTAAACACTAGTTCCTAACTAACCCATCCCAACTTACAAAATGAATAGTTAGCTAAGTAGAAGCCCCTTAGAGTTAGGGCTGTGCCATCCCTTGGAAACCTGAAAGATCATTTCTGGATATTTATTTGGCTTCTTGTCTTTTTTCCTGCAAGCCTGCACTTTTGCAGTTCGAATAAAAATGCCTTTCAAATTTTACAGGTTTTGCACAAAATGGAATCGGTGAGGAGGCACTGCAGTTACACATACAAATGCTCAGAAGGGGTTTTCAACCAGATCAGTCCACCCTTGTTTCAGTTCTTACTGCCTGTTCTAATCTTGCATCACTAAGAGTGGGAAGACAAACTCATGCACTTGTTCTTAAACATGGGTTGGATTCACATATCTCTGTATGTAATGCTCTGATTACCATGTACAGGAGATGTGGTGGTATTCTTGACTCTGAGTTAGCATTTCAACAGATCGACCATCCCGACCTTGTTTCATGGAACACCATCATTGCTGCTTTTGCACAGCATGGACTGTATGCGAAAGTTCTAGCTTTTTTCAAGCAAATGGAATTGAATGGATTCAATCCTGATGGGATAACATTTCTTAGTTTGTTATCTGCATGTGGTCACGCAGGAATGGTAAATGAGAGCATGTTCTGGTTTGACTCAATGGTTAGAAATTATGGGATAGTCCCTAGGTCTGAGCATTGTGCTTGCTTCGTCGATATACTTGGTCGAGCGGGTAAGGTGGAGAAGGCTTACCAAATGATCCAAGAAATGCCATTTGAAGCCGATTCTGGAGTTTGGGGTGCACTTCTTGCAGGCTGTCATGCTTATTTAAATGTAGAGCTCGGGCAACTAGCTGCAGAGAGAGCTGTGGAATTGGAATCTAAGAACTCTGGGGCTTATGTTATGTTGTCTAACATTTATGCTGCTGCCGGTATGTGGAGG